CGTGACATCGATGACGATCACTATTCAAAATCGAGTTCGCGTCTTCAAAAATTCAACGACACAAGGATGTCCAAGAAAACAGGTTTGTGACGCGATGGGCAACAGAAAATGAAGACTACAGTGGTGGCCAAAGTGCATTGAAAATCACGTATGATTTTCAATTGATTGAGAACTGAGAATAGTCATTTTCAACTGATTGAGAATAGTGTATTTTCAACTGATTGAGAATAGTGTATTTTCAACTGATTGAGAAAAGTGTATTTTCAACTGATTGAGAAAAGTGTATTTTCAACTGATTGAGAATAGTTTACTTTCAACTGATTGAGAATAGTTTACTTTCAACTGATTGAGAATAGTTTACCTTCAACTGATTGAGAATAGTTTACCTTCAACTGATTGAGAATAGTGATTTTCAGTTGATTGAAAATTGAGATTGGTGATTTTCAATTGTTTGAGAATAGGGGTAACATTAATGAAACAGTGTGGTGACGATAACATAAACAGACAAAAGAAGAGAATGGAGTGAGGAAGAGGACGTTGACGAAAACAGAGAGGAGGAAGAGGACGTGTCGAGAACAGAGAGGAGAAGGAGGACGTTGACGAGAACAGAGAGGAGGAGGAGGACGTTGACGATAACAGAGTAAGTCCAGTTGCGATGACGATCACAATGTCGCGTTGACGTCGACAGCAAGGTGACGACGACAACTGCCTAGGCAAGTGGTAGTACTGCCCGTGGCAATAAGAGTCTTTGGGGAGAGGGGCATTGGAAGGACCGATGGGATGAGGGCGGCTGCAGAACTAGAGGTTCTGGCGTTCGCCGTCTCTCGGTTGCGTGGAGTTGCGCCGTGTTGGCCGAAGTGAAAGAATCTCTTTAGGGTCTGAGGACGCTCGATTCACATGGTCGATATAAAGGCCTTTATTGCGTCTGGTAACGGCTCCCGCGCCTTGGCCGTTGGTTTTATCCTGATGTGCCGTTTGGCGTCGGAGCTTCTCTCTCTTTCTTTCTCTCTCTCTCTCTCTCTCTCTCTCTCTCTCTCTCTCTCTCTCTCTCTCTCCCCCAAATGTACTGCAATAAAGAAAATCCCATTCTCAGTTGTCAGAAGCAATGCTTTAAGTTTTTCCATTACGGAGAGATAATTTAATAAAGATTTATTGCGAGTGTAAGATGTATGCGGGTCTGGCTGTTATAATGATGACGGGCATAGCATTCAAATTTTCAAAATTAAATAATTTATTTGCGAGAACTACATCGGTATAAAACGGTATGTGATAGCAAATAAGACATTTCTACTGGGACCTTGGTTAAGAAATCCTAAATTACTTTCAACTTTTAATTTAAATTGAATGTAATGAACTCTAATTACAATTTAATAGATAAAATATCTAGATACAATTTGCTGCTTCCTTATTGTGTTTGTTATTATGCGAAAACAAAAGTATGTATTGTTCCGCAAATGAATAAAAATTGCTGTCAGGTAATTTGAACAGATACGTATGTTTGTGAAAGGAATGAATGCGAATTTTGGAATAAATCACAGCAACCTAATTTTAATAACAAATTCGGCAGCGCTAGATTACAAAATCCCCATTATGTCCATAAATCGGGATGTGCGACGCATGTTTGTCAGAATAGTAATGACCTTCCAGTTTATTTCGAGATTTAAATTAATGTAGATTTTAAATATAGAGCGCGTTTGCTGAGAATGACGTATAGAGCGAGCCGAGTTATGTTTCCACAAGCAACGCGAGCCGCTCTCGGCCCCAAAAGATCGCCGCGGCAGTTGTGGATTGTTTATGTCGGTCGGGGACAATCGACGCACGTTCACAAGCGACAAAGAGAACCGTTAAAGTACTGATGCGAAGCGCCCGTCCCGACCTCTACGCATCGTTCGAACTCCACTCCAACCTCCCTGCTCTTCCCCTCTCCTTCCTTCCTCAGTTAACCCTCTGGACGAACTTTCACGGCGTGGCCGGCAGCGACCGCAAAAACCCGTGCAAACACTGTAAAACAATGCCAACAGTTTTAACCGGGCTTCTTCTGGAACAATACAGGCGCAGTTCATCCCAACGCAAACAGCCGCCTCCCCGTCCCCTCCCATCGCCCGTACCTCCCACCCGCCCATCCGCCTGTCCGCCGAAAGCTGAATGAACGTTATTTAACTCTTCTCTCTGCCGTTCGCGATCCATACATTTATTGTTAGCTTCGGGAATGGTGCGCCGCGTGGTCGGAGACGGGAGCGGGCGAGGGGGGCCGCCCGGCTGGATTTTCCAGGGCGAAATCGTAGATTCCCGGAGCGCGGCGCGGTATGAAGCAGCGGTGGTCGTGGGGCGGGGGGCGGGGCGAGACGGGCGGGGGAGGTGAGTAGAGGCAAGGGATAGAGCCTGGGGCGGGGATTAGGGCGTGACATGGCGACGTCGGTCGAGGAGAACTGATGGCGGCCTGGCATGAAGAAAAAGGGCAAAGGGGTGAATGTATGAGGAGAGGATGGGCAGGGGCAAGGGGATCGGTGGGTGGGGTATCAGGGGAAACAGCAAGAGGATGTCCTGGTGGGCAGCAGTCGGAGCTTAGGCGGATGGGAGTTCGACGCCTAGAAGAAGACGCGGAGTACGAGGCATAGGGACGGGATAGGAGGGGGAGTGTGCGGATGCAGGTAGGATGGGATGCGGACGGGGATGGCGGAAAGGATGGCGACGCGGAAGGGGATGGGTATATGGATGTGTAGCGTCATGGAGTTAGGATGCTGGATTGGGGAACTGTGGGGTAGCATTATGCGCGGGTTAGTGTTGTGGCGGGGATGGGCTGGGGTATGGGGCTGCAGTTATTGGTTGTGTGGGATGGGGTCGCGGGTGGGAATGGGATGTGGATGTAAGTAGGTGTGGGGTTAGGAAGGGGATGCGGGTAGAAATTGGGTGGGGAATCAAGCAGACAGCTTTGGTCGGGTTGGAGAACGCGTCGAGAGAGGGAATGGAAGGCAAGTTGGGGAGTGGTGCGGAGTGGTGCGGCGCCAGCGGCGTTCGGGGCAGGGCAGAGGAGGTGGAGGGGAGGGCGGGCGCGCTTTGCGCCAGAGGGCTTCCTCCGCGTAGTGCGAGTCGTTACCCGTGAAATAGTGCGCCCGCCGTCCAGCCACCCCCACCCCATCTTCGCTTCACGCGCAACGCTTCTCTCGCGGCGCCTCTCCGCCCCTGCTCAACTGACTTCCGAAACCCGCAACGGACCTCAACTCACCACTTCCTTCGTAGTGTGTTTCCTGTAATGTTTCCTTCAACGTAATGAAACCTTGGGGTTTGGTGCTTATTAGCTGTCAGCTCAAATTTTCGTTTATGGCTACTTCTCTTCAATATCTTCCTAACATTATGATCTGAGTCGCTTTAATTTAGTATCTTTCACCTTAGCTTTGCTTATCAGTTCTGCACCACATTGTTTCATTACATCGCCTCGACTTTCCAGTCATTAGTTTCATCCTCGTTTGTTTCGTGTATTGTTGAGTTTGTTTGTTCTCTCTTCGCCACGTCGGTTTTCCTTTGCTTCCCTTCTCTGGTGTGGAATCTCCATCTTACTCCCCTCCCCTGTTCGGTGCACTTTGCGACCTAAGCAGCCGGCTGAGGTGACTTCAGCTTTAAAAGGCTCTACCGCTCGCCACAAGCTATAGCCAACTCTTTTGTAAATTTGCAAGAGGAAAGGGCTATTTTCGGTGGTTTTGTTTTTAAAAATGTACCACAGCTGTGTGATGGTTAGGGCGTGTAAACAGGGGACAGAAAAGACGCAGTTGTCATTTTGAAATAAGCGACCGTGATTGGTGAGTTGATGGTTATAGTAGAGTTTTTAAAATATGCTATTACATTAATTTTGGGAATTACAAATTTCTGGGAAATTTCAGTATGTACTGTTTTTTCGATAAACAGTAAAGTACTATGAGATGAAAATTGACCCGCAAAAGTAATGAGGCTTATTAAATGTATAGAGTGGTTCTGTTGAAGTTGGGTTTTATCCAGTGCAAAGGGTTTATTCATTTTGTTCACAAAATGTCTAATTATAGTTACCTCTTTGCTTGCGTACTGCATGCTCATATAGTTCGATAAACATTCTCTATAATTAGTTTGTCACAAAGCAGGAGTGCTCTTGTATATAAAGGTGTAATTGAATTGTTAAAAACTACTAGGAGTCTATGCGATATTTTGCAAATGAAAGGTAGTCTTGTCTGACATTTCAAAAATGACACGGGTAATTGCGAAGAACTAGGTGTATGCCAATGAATGACCTTTTACAGAGTTTTTTTAAAGAAGACAATGGATTTAGAAATTCAACATGAAGCTTTAAATGTATGCTGTTCTAGTTTAAATAAACAAACGGAGAGCATCATTGAGTATTTGAAAATCGTAAGCGTAATGTGTTAATGCGTTAATTCATGTGTTTTGAGTCATCATCAGTAGTCAATTAATGTATTGTACAAAGCAATGAGTAATTTCAATATTGATTTTTCATTGAGTGATTTCCGAAAGAAGATACTACAAAACGTTTAAATTATGTACATTTTACCATACATTTTACATATTTTATTATATTTGCTTGGCATGACTCTATAGCTACGCTGCCTAATGCAAGATAAAATAAAATTTAAACGTTTTTGCTTCATCCTTTTCACTGATCTATGATTTAGTCTGTTAGTACATAATCACGCAACTATTTCAAATTCTTTCTGAAAAGGTATGTTAAAATATTCTTAACTATCATTAACATACCGTTTATTCTACACTAAATGTATTGACTTGATTGACGTCACATGGGATAGCGATAAGTCATGAATGTGTATAGAGGTCACTTTGAATTCAATTCTGACACCTTAAAATAACTCTAAATTTTCCAAAAATACTGAAAGCAACTATTTTTTTCAATTTATTTTAGATTATAGCGAATAGGTGTAAGTGTTACTTGTTAAAATTTGTTAACATCGTTTGTTGTAACATTGTTTGTTTAAAATTTGTTGCATCATCGTTTGTAGGGTTATTGGCGTGACCTTCGCGGTCACCGTCATTGACGACGAGCCAGCATTTGCGCATGCGCGGTCGGCAGAAGCGCCTTTTTCCCACCGGAGGGCAGCATCATCGCAATTTCAGAGACGAACAGAGAACGCTGCTGGCCGCCGGCGGCGCGAAGAGGAAGGAGAGAGAACGAAGAGGGACGGGAGGAAAGAGAGAACAGAGAGAGAAGAGAAGAGGAGGGGAGGGGAGGGGAAGGGAGGGGAAGGGAGGGTTGAGCGAGCAACGCGGGCTCTTAATGAAATAATGTTTATTTTTGTTGCGTTTGTTGCTCGCAAATAAATACGACGCGGCGCCTACGCGAGCGCGTGTTTCATTAGCGAAACTTGACTCTCGTTGTCCTCCATCGTAAATTTCAAACGCGAGGAGAGCAACTCTTTTATTTCGATTAATATGTGTTGAGTATGTGTATTCGTATTGTTGAAATAAATAGCCAATTTGGCATATTTTTATAAGTTCTTGCACAAAATGTATATGTGTTTTGGAAATTAGCTTTTATAGCATTATTTTTTTTGAAAATATTTAGGAAACAAATGTGATTACTATTGACTATATATCATAATCTTAGATTTGTAAATCATAACGTGTTTTTTAAAATGTGTTATATATTCATTTTCGTGGCAGCATGCTTCGCAAACCAGGAAAAAAACGGCATACAAGAAATGCAAAGAGGAATATTGCTGTCTGAGCTTAGTCAATATACTTTAATTTTCAAGTACCTACTGAACAAAAAATAATGACAGAAAAGTATGAATGAGCTACAATCTTACGACAACTATCAAATAGTATGTCATTTCCAACAGTTTCCTTTTATGTATATGCAGAGATAAATGTCAAACTAGAGTTTAATTGAAAAATTGATGTGAAATGAATCTGGAAAACGAGAACTACATAACCTAACCTCACTAAATGTCTGGGAGTTGCCGACGAGGCTCTTACTTCGGCCGTCGCAATTCACACAAAACAACTTTGAGGGTGCGCAAATTCCTATTTACAACGCATTTGGTTGCTAAAATACCACTTGCGAATACACCTCGCACTCCACCAATCACCTTCCTTTATTCCACTCCCTGTGACTAAAGGTAACGTGGGTGGGATTACAATAAGGATCTACTCGTAGTTATTGATACAGTTTTATCCTGACTTCTGTTCGAATTAACCAACTAATAGGCCTGCTGGCCATTTTCGTATTTAAACTTACTTCGCTGATGAGACTATATGGATTGTCTCTTTTCCTGCCTGGAAAACAATGGAAATTAAAAAAATCTCTTTTTTAATATTAAAGAGAGTGCCTGTGTATATCTCACATATACTACATTGGTATCTTTCTGTATCTCTTCTCAATTAGTTTCAAAAGTAGATTTTTTTTGAGAGAAGTAATTTCACTACATAAAAGAAAGTGTACGACATAAAAGTAAATCAATTCAGCAAACAAACAACGCAATATTTCTCCATTTCAATTACAGTAATCTGTATTTCTCTTGGATGCGCATTCACAAACAATAACGAATCTAGTTGAAAATAGTTTTAATTTTAAAATGAGAAATGAAGGTTCATTTGAAGAACGTAAATAATGTTTCTTGTTCAAGCTGATTGCATTGTATTGGCACATTAAAGTAATTTAAAAATAATTATAGTTTCGTGAACATCAGGACATGAAATTAATTTGCAGTGACACTGGAAAATTTATTCAGATATCGTCTACTACGCTTTTACTGATCGCATGTGGAAATTGCAGACGAGATGGTACGCAGTATAAATACTCCAAAGCTTTGCATTGACTTCGTACTATAAAAAATAGAGACGAACATACATAAAAATCGAACATATATATTTGTTCGTCATGTTTCTTACTTCTAAACTAAAGATATCACTAGCTTTACATAAATCATTATTTTAGTAATTATTTCGCCACATGAAGGGTAAAGACACCAGTGATGAACACTTCGGACAAAAAATCTAAAAATGTGGGAGCTGAAGGTTTTCGTTTGCTTCTAACTTGCTAAATTCTGGGACCAATGCCTTCCAGTGGTAAAGATTAGAACGGTGATAATTTGTTTTCCTTGTTTTATATTTAAATAATAAACTGAAAGAAACTTATTAATATTGAAATGTAACATGAATTGAAAACAATTCGATATTTTATTTTCTGATACGTTCAGATGGTAGAATATGTTGTCATTTATGAAATATAGTACTTGACCACTACCCAAAATTTGCAGTTTTCTTGTGGCCTGTAATGCCTGTACTGGCGTAGATATTATTCCATCATATACGATGTAATACACATCTTAAATGATAAATATTATAATCTGAGGCCATACATAATATTTGGTAAGTTTTTAGGATTTCCTTAATAGTAAGATACTACTGCCGACTATGCGGGGTGACCGTGTTAAAGCAGGGAATTATTTCTATCCATTTGATATAGTCCAAGAAAGGCCAGGAATGTCTTCTGCATTTGTGGAGAACAGTTCTTTCACAGAAGAAATGCTCAAAACTGCGAGTAAATGTGTAAATAAGACTCTTGGAAATGGATCGAGAAAAGTGCGCCCACTTTCTCAGAATACCCGCAGTGAGAATGAGGGTCCTCGCAGAAAGTCCTTGGAATCCGCCAAACCACGTCTCATTTCCTCCCCGGCCGCCGGGAATGCGGACTACATTTTCTCAAACGTTCCTTATCGCGCGGAGAAGAAGCTCGGGCGTTCGCGGATCGCGCAGGAAAGAATTATCCGCTAATGAACTGCTGTGGCGGTTGCGGGGAATCTAATTAGGCAGTGCGTGCGTTTTTGCTCTGGCCCGCGGAACGTTTTGTGCAGACGCTAAAGCCATCTCGCCTCACCCTCAGCTGTCGAAGAAGGCGGTAGCGGAGACCCACTGTTCGTGAAGGCCTTGGAAGAATTTGTCGTTGCTTTGCGGAGGAGGTTGTCGGTGCATTGCGGAGGAGGTTGTCGGTGCTTTGCGGAGGAGGTTGTCGGTGCTTTGCGGAGGAGGTTATCGTTACACAAGTTTCGTTCATGCACGGGACGAACCAGGAAATGCAACGAAAGGAAAAAAATGGATGCAAGTTAATGTAGGTAGGTGTCAGCAACATATTCGACTATAGGAACTCTCATCTTCATTGCAAACGTGGCTAAAGAAGTGTGAATCCCTGATATTAGCACGAGACATTTTTTCATTTTCAATCCCCTCACACATGTGGTGTGTCGCCTTGATGGCCGAGATCGTTCAGACAGTAGTGCCGTAGCGGTATCAGACTGAAGGATCGCGGATTCGAGTTCCGTCTGGGGCACGGATGTATTTGTGTTCGTTCTTTCACCCCTCACTCACCACCATCATAAGTCATCTTCGCCGTTACCATAACGTTAAATAGCGATCGCTAATGTCCTAGTTGTTGATGCGACCTTAAATACAAAAAAACAAACAAAAGCATGTGCGGACTTTAATGTTGCTGTCTCTGAGAGTAGGACAGCAGTGGGAACTTGTAGTTGTATTGATAGGCGTGGTATGAGGAGTGTGGGTTCAGGAGGTGAGGCCCGTGGCGGGGGAAGGAGGGGCGGCAACGGCCGGGGGTGTCCATTTCCTCGCGCGCACTTTTCCCCGAGGAGGTGACGGCAGGTGCTGTGGTTAAATCATCCCGAACTTCGCGGCCGCGGAGAAATACGGCGCTCTGCCGCCGGTGAACGTGGTCGCGAAGCAAAACGCGACGTCTCGCCAACGCGCCGCCTAAGTCACGTCGAGGAGTTCGGGACGGATTTTCTTATCGCTTAATGAAATTCGTGCTTTCTCTCGTACATGTTTCTCTGAAATAAACGTTTCGCTCGCATTCACCGCTGTTAAAGCATGCGCAGCGTGAAATAATTACGCAACGTCATTACTCGAAAACTCGCTGTGTACAGTTTTTAGTTCGTAAAAAAAGGGAGAAACTTTGCTCTTGTGGCTACATTAATTATTCAAAATAGTGTGTCATAGAGTTAGTAGAATATATCTTTACAATGATAATCAGAAGTTATATGTTGTTTCTTTGCGTACTGTCATGCTATACGTAGTGTCATGGTATATACTTATATGTATAATTCCAAAAATATGATAAAACTGTTGGAGAACTTAAACAACTTCAAAGCTTTCGTTTCATTATTATCCCGAGATATCGGGGGAAATTTATAAATTCAATATTTATTTGGTGTAAAAAGTAAATGAAAATTTTCAACTGTGTGTAAATGTGACGAACAATATATAACAAATTTCATTTAAAAAATATGTTACACACTTTTGTCTGTCGCTTAAGACTATGCTGATAATGCGACATTAATTTAAAAAACTACATGATTTGTTATTGTGTGCAAAAGTGTTCAAACGCGAGTTTGCAACTGAAACGTCATTAACTGGGCGATTTTTGACCCGTTTTCTGACTAATGGCTATTCGACCCGAGCTCATTAACCAGTCTTGGACGTAACTGACTGGATGAGGATTCTAGAGACAGCTGACCTGACAGGTCGTTTATGTGATCTACTGCAATAAAGTCCAAGAGGCTGCCAGAGCGGAATTTGAACGGTGGTCCACGACTGTACGCCATCTTTGTACCTTCACTTACCGCCACCCTTGGAGCCTCGTGTAGAGCTAATATCACGTTCCCACATTGCCCATTCCTAATGATCTCGAACGATTGACAGTACTCGAGTATTGATAATGCATGGCCCGAACTATGCAGCAAATCCATTGAAAAAACGTAAAGTAATCTATTTTTAATGTAACGTCTGATAGATTAACGGATTTTGTTACCTATTATGGATTTGAGTGGAATTTGAGTTGACAACTCAGTAGAACATTTTTGCCTCTTTGCTATCTATTCATTTTCTTTGGGAGTTCCTTCGCGTTACACACACAAAAAAGATCTCTCTGATGAAATCGTAACGGAGCTTCTCGTTGCAAGATATATTTTCCCCGTGAATAACGTTTTGCGTAACGAATGAATACCAACTCGGAAAGC